GGGGGGGGGGGTGTGGGGTTGATACGGGAATGTAAACATCCAAAGCCCAAATAATAATTTAAAAATATCAAAGACCCATAGATTTGGAACTTAATATGGGTTTAGAACGATAAATATGTGATATCTGGTAGGAATGATGGGTCCAATAAAGTCGGGCTTTTTTTCATGGGCCATGTTAATATATATGTATGTATGTGCGCGAGTAGGAGTCGGATGTGGCAAATCAAATCTCTCTGTATTTACCAACAACAAAAAAAACAAACCTATCTGTAACGGTGGTTTTGGTTAAATTAGCCATTAGCTCGTCTGAAATTCAGATTCTAAATAGATATGACTATTTGCTACATTTTTGGAAGCAAGCGATGTGAAGGAGACGTTGACTTTATTAATTGTTTTTTTTTTTAAGTTCACATGGGGAAGTTGATGATCATAGAGAAGGTCAACCCCAGCTTCACGTCCACGTGGGTTAGTGGTCATGTTTGGAATATGGGGTTGTTAAATCTAAATTCGTGTAGCTCAGATGTGAACATGTTAGATTCGATGTTTCAAAAATAAAGCGTCATAATCCATACCATCAATATACAATGCATTTTTACTTCTATTCAAACGTGGTGTGGTGATCTACATGTATAATATCTTGTAGTTTAAATTAACAGGAAACTTGTATATAGAATCCTCAACTGTACTGTATTCTATTTACTCATTGCTTATCCGTACGGATCGAAGCCGCCTCGTGGGACCCGAGGAGTGAGATGGGCCCAGTCCCAGTCTGGTTGGGCCCTCCTTTCCAATTGATACCAGCCCTTTCGGCCCATCCTTCCACTAATCTTTTTTAATTTCCTTTTTTTTCCCCTCTAAACATTCATATTTTCATTCTTCATATATAAAATTGAAAACAGTAACCGTTTCCCATCTCGGTTTCGGACCTTTACACACGAATTCGGAAAACTAAGTGCCTCTATTTAAAGCAGCCTAATATATTAGGACTGTACTTAAGAAATTATACTGGATCGTGATGCCAAAGGAAATTTGATTCATATATATTATATTGCTTAGGCAATTATGGAATTTCATCCAAATGAAAGCAAATTTACCATAGACGGGTAATTATGAAAGCTTAAATAAATTATCAAGCAAAAAACAAAACAGCTGTATAATTTACACCTTTAAGAATATCATCTCCCACTTTATAAGGCCCCTTTTCCTTTTTCCCCCCGAGATTTCCGTCTCCCAAACTTTTCTCACTCCTCCCATGGAACCGCCGCTCTCCCCCCCCGCGGCGCCCACCGTCGTTGTGGCTGCTCCTCCGGTTTCGGCCCCGACCTCCACCGTCGTCCATCCCCATGCGATGTCCTCTTATCCCGACTCCGTCGACTCCTCCCCCAGGTCTCGCACCACAGAGGGCTTGGACGACCTTCCCGCTCCGGCCGGCGGCGGTGGGACGGCCGGTGTGTCTTCTAAGCTCCGGTTGATGTGCAGCTACGACGGCCACATCATACCTCGACCTCACGACAAGTCCCTCTGCTACATCGGCGGCGATACTCGCATTGTCGTCGTCGACCGTAACATCTCTCTCTCTGCTCTCGCCGTACGCCTCTCCAACACCCTCCTCAACGGTCGTCCCTTCACGCTCAAGTACCAGTTACCGAGCGAAGACCTTGACTCGCTTATATCTGTCACAACTGACGAGGATCTCGACAACATGATCGAGGAGTATGACCGTACAATATCTTCTTCGAATTCAACTTCTGGCAAGCCCTCGCGTCTGCGTCTGTTCTTGTTCCCGTCGAAGCCCGAGGCCACTCAGTCCATGGGACAGATCCTGGAAAGTTCAGTGAAGAGCGACGATTGGTTCCTCAACGCTTTGAATAGCGTTGGCCATTTGAACAGAGGATTTTCTGATTCCGATACCAACATCAACTGTTTACTTGGTTTGGATGATGGTCTAGGTCTTCGCGCTAATACCAGCGACAACGGAGGCAAACTCGATTTGGACACTAGAGATGTGGGTGGCTCCATGAAGAGCGCGCAGCAGCGGCAGCAACACTCGTCGCGCCCGCAGGGAGGTCAAGATATTCACTCTGCACCAGATTCGTCGGTGTTGGATACAACGTCGTCGTTTGGTTCAACTTCTTCTTCTCCGTCGCTCGCCAATCTGCCGCCGATTCGTGTCCATGTCGAGGAATCCGTTGGAGTCAGGGTTATCCAGGATCAGAAGCTGGGGATCGAAGATCAGTTCGCGCAGTTGAGCGTCGGGGGTGGCGCCAATAAGCAGTTGCAGCAACAGCAGGAGGAGGCGTTCGCAGCGATCTCGTCGCCGCCGCCGCCGATACCGGTGACAATATCCCCCCCCCCCCGCCGATACCGGTGACAATATCCGTTCCCGTTGCGCCTGTGAGCGCTAGGGCAGTCTCAGGTGAATCCCTTGGGCGGATTGTGTCGGACGACGAGAGATCCGATCCCGGCTTGCCTGGTGGACACAGAAAACCGCCGTCTCCTCATTCGCAGCCGCAGAATGCACCGCCTCAGGCTCATCTGCAGAAATCCAATGGCTGTGGACACGATCTGCCATCTCCAGATTCTGTTTCCAGGTACCTCTTCGATTCCCTGCAACCGTTCATCCTGAATTCGTTATGTGATCGTATTTCTGGATTGTTTGGAGCTACTTATGGGTTAGATTCTTATGCCGTCTCCATATGTTTGTGCTAATGCCTCAGTGAAAGCAGTATGAACAACCCTCTTTCTCGCCAAAAACCTACGATCTATCACGACCCGGTTACTCAGATGTCGTCTGGTACTACCATAGTTGACCAAAAGATGAATCCTTCGGATCCGAAAGCACGAGTTCAGATTCAGGATTCAGGATACATCTCGCACACCCAATTTGAACAACAATCTGCTCAATCGCAACTGCAACAGCAGTTCATACAGGCTGCTGCACCACAATACATTCATCACCACCCATCTGGCGGCGTTGCGATCCCGACTTATATCCAGGTTTACCCTTCGCAGCAGCCGCAACCTTATCCTGTTTACTATGTCACTACACCTGTCCCAGCAAGACAACCGGCCTACAATATGCAGGGACTGCAATCTAGTAGTTTAAACGAGACACTGGGTTCTCTTCCTTCGAGCCATCCACAGGCATCTTCCAACCACACCATGATGGCCCCACCTACTAATAATGTTGCTGCTTATAACCCCATGAGAAATATTCCTGGAAGCAAACCTGAGATAGCCTCATCTGGAGGTGTTTACACAACAGCCTCGGGTTTAAGTGGCGCTCAGTTGGTTCAAGTCCCTATGGGCCAGCAATTTGCGGGTTACTCACAGATTCATCACCTGCCTCATTCTGGTCCCGTACCTGGTTCAGCTGCAAATCCTGGTTACAGTTATGAATTTTCTGATCCTACTACTCACACCCAAATGTACTTCACCCAACCTGTGGCATCTGCTGAGCACCAGACAATGACCATGGTCTTGCCTGATGGCTCTGCTGCTAAGGTTCAGACAGAGAACGTGAAACAACAGATGCGAAGTTCACAGCCGTTGTGATAGAGAATGGCAAGGAAGATGAAACAAAATTTTGGAGGAAAACCCGGGTTGGATTTACATATAAGTCATATATCTACATTTTAAAGAAAGAGTGGGTTGTGGTGTTGAATTGGTTTATGGGTTTTTTGTGTTATGTGAGTATTTAGAGAATAAGGAACTTTTGGGTATGGTAGTGAGGCTACTACTGCACCTTTGAGTTATATTTACATAGAAATGGATACTGCATAGAATGTGTGGAAAGAATATGGGGATCGTCTTATCATGTCAATCGGGATACTTGTTGTGAATGCAGCTCTGATCTTCTCTTCTCTTTGAGAATTCACAAGTTTCAGTTTCAGGTTTTGTCACTTTTTTGGGGGTAGAAGGTGGTTGAATAATGGACGTCTTGAGTGTGGGTGTTTTTCTTGGGAATATTTGCACCCTAGAAATCTCATGTATCACATGCTCCCCCTTTTTCTTTCTCTTTTAAATGGTGGTTGTAGGTTCTCGTGTGGAAAATGTATCTCAATCAAATGTGTTTGGACTAGTGTGTTTACTCTTTTGGAAATAACATTGGAAGAGAAGGAACGCTCAAAGAACAAAAAGGGTCTCGTATTTCATCCTCACTAGAGCAGCTGCCCAAAGAAGTTAGATTACGATTTGACTAAATCCGACGAATGAAGGAGTAGTGGGCCAAATGATGATACAAGGTCGGTCCAATCCTCCGTCCGTGCCGGAATTACAAGGACATCTCATCCATTTTCAACACAAAAAATGGCGTTATCAAAATCCGTGTGATGATCCGATAATCCACCCTTGGAAACGCGCTCCGCTCTGTCGCTGGGGGAACAGAGATTGATGATCGGAGAATCTGTTGTTTTGCAGGCTCCTCTGAGTTATCATCTCAAGGTTTTTTTTGTTGGTTCCTTTTTTTTTAAGGTAATCATGCTCTTGTTAATTTCTCATGTTTATCGTCGACCAGTTGATCCCAACACTAGTGATGTTGGGGGTTGATTTCATTGAGTGTGGATTTGCTCATGTAACTTTCTGATCAGATGGAGTTCGGGGAAAATCAGGTGCTCCATTATCTGCTGCTTCAGCATCAGCCTGTCGGTGAGGTCTCAGTGAAGGTCAGTGGCATATTGCTCAGCAAGATTCACAGCTATATGATTGCTTTAATGTGATATAATCATCTTGCTAACTATATCAGAGATCTGACTTAGCGTCTCGTGAATTTTCTCGAGGAAGGCCAGCCCCTCAGTTGATCTATTTTCAAGAGCTTCTCTCTTCTATGGTAAAATATTTTCAGAAGCTACTGGATTTGATAGTCAAATATGGCTGGGATTTTGATCATTACTTGGAAGAAGACGTCTCTGCTGGCTGCAGTGAGGTGATTTTGGTCTTGCTGAATCTTTTGCTATCATACTGTCCTGAATCCTGATTAATTCACCGAATTGGGTGTACACTTTGTTGTTCTTATCATATATTGAGTATATTAGAGCTCAAAGCAAGCCCACGGGAGGTATTCTACTCTATGCAATGTTGTCACATTGTGGTAAGTTATTATACATTTTGATGTTGGGTTTACCTATGATTTGTCTGACAACAAAGGCTCATAGATTTAAGCTGTTATTCATCTGTGTATTCCATCCTGCAAGCTTTTGAAGGACAAGAACCTTGCCGCCGTTGTGACACCGACATCATCAGTTGATTACACAACCTCGAATTCAAGGATCAATTTGCTTCTGCCTCTTGTATGTGGATATTACATGTTATTTTGCTCTCTGCCTTGGATTCTTTTTACCAGAATTGTGATAAGTACTTCAGGGTTTACGTCAGAGGCAGGAAGAGAGGAAAAGAAGCAGTAAATGGTGAGGATCAAGAGGAAGGAGCTGAAGAAGTGGCTGAAGAAGGAGCTGAAGAAGGAGCTGGAGGGACAAGAGAAGGGAGCTGAAGCAAGAAGGAACATCTGAAGAAAAAGGTACGCTGTTCTTAGATTTGTTTGTTTGTGTATAAGGATAGTATATGTTGATTGTGTTGTTGCATAGTTGGTTAGTAGTTGTGAATAAACAGCTGTATTGTCTGTTATAGTTAGGAATGTGGTTAGCTGTTAGTAATTCTGTTAGGATGGGATTGTATAAATAGTGTAGAGAAGGGATTGAAGGGTTTTAGGCAATTTCTAGTACAGAATTGTAAGGGGAAGAGAGTGGGGACCTCTCTCAAATCAAAGTCATCCAACGTGTACCTGTTTTCGGTGATCAATAAAGCTGGGCAGTTCTTCTCCAGCTGAGGAATCCGAGGTCTGAACCATAACAAATTGCTGGTGTCTAAAGTATTTCCATCGGAAATTGATACCAAGAACCTGAATTTCATTGTTCCTTTGGGGGCTATTTCAGTTGCAGCTTATCCTCTTTCATCACGTCCTCCTTATGCTTTGTCTTGGCTTAACGATTTGATATCAGCAGCTGGCGTGATGCATCCTGAATTATTACAAAAGCTTTTAAGTACAAACATTGTTTCCCCCTCGAGTATGAGATATCTGGTTCATGTCTTCTGAATCTAATTTAATTGTCAATGGCAAGTATCCACTGGCAGTAACTAAGGTTTTACCATGGCAGAACTCTATATGCTTTCCATGAGGCGATTATTTACAGGAGTCTAGTGCTAGTAGGTTAGACTGTTTCTTGTTTTCTTTATGGTGATATATGCAGGTTTCTCGTTTCTGCAACTCAGGTACCATACCTGCCAAACTTATTCTTCAGTTGACAACATCGAGAAGGAGGCCTATGTGTGAATTTTACTACACGGATCATCTTTCCAGAACCAGTGTCCCTGTCTTAGTTCTTGCAGGTGACCAGGATTTAATCTGTTCACCCGAGGCCACAGTGGACCGATGTTTTCTTTTTCTCACTTTGGCCTAGTGGTCAATTTTAATCTCCACAAACTTTGGGGTGCAACGTTATGCCAGGAGTGCAGATACATGATACATGGAAACCTGATATGCACATATCTTTCATCTTCTTCTCCTCGAATGCTACTAACTATAATGCTTTTAAGAGACCATATAAGGTGTGTTGGATCATGATACTTCCTGCACATGAATACAAGAGTCACAAAACGGTTAGCTACTAACTTCAATCGCTTAGTATCCACGCATGGGTGTCGTTTTCTTTCTAGTGCTGAGACATGTAATGTAATTGATTATTGATTATGAATATGTCAGAAACTGTTAAGCTACTTCCTTTTGATTGTCATTTATAAGGTGTTTTGGAGAACCAGATGGCCCACATTACGCACACTATGATTTGGTTGGAAGACTAGTATGTTCTTCCCTACTCTTTTTCTAAGTCTCTTTTGGTGGAACTTTGTTCATATGCTGTATCAAATATTTTTCTTCTGATTCATTTCGGTTCAGTCTCCCTGCGGGCTGTGGAACAAGTTTATCCATGTATAATTGAATTTCTCAGCCGTGTTGACTGCGTGTTTGCAGAAATTTGCCAGCTCTGCAGCTCACTGTGGACTTTTCTGCTCAAGACTTCGGCCAGTCATCTAAGAAATGCATGTTTCAGACATAGGTGAGATTAGAAAGAGGAGATTTCTGGAAACGCGATCAGAGGTTAAAATCAAGATTTTGTTTACACCCAACTCTCTGGCGACATTGTAAATTAGTACCGGATTCTGTTTTTCCCTTACAAACTTGGTAGTGAGGAAAAACTTTCTCAAGAAATGCTTTCAATATTGTGTCTATTGAGACTATTTTCTTCATTTTATTGTATTGATGAACCGTTTTATTACCTTTTTAAAACGGAATCTTTGTCAAGATTGTCTTTTAGCCACTGTCTCTGTGAAAATGCTGAAGCTTATCCGTTGAAGCAATTGAGTAGACATGGATTCATGTGTATATTTTCTGTCTTGGATCAACCATACTGCAGAACCCTACTTCACAGACAAGGTGTGGGAGACAGGTAATGACAAAACTGACTTGTCTTGTGATGGAGTAACAAGCTCTCGCTTTTGACAGAGTTTGCCCTTCTACCATAAGGTAAGTCCATATGCCACTCTTTATCCGTTTTTATTCACAGTTCAATCCATGGGATGCTGCATCTTTCAGTGCAGCCTCGTTCTCTATGCAGAAACATCAACTTTTATTAAAATTTCAACAACCGACTCCTAATGGGCTATAGCACAGGCAAGAAACATGCCTTTCTCCTTTAATCCATTGTTATCAATTGGTTTTGGGGTTGAACTCGGACACATTTAGTTATCCAAACTTGCTGTCATCATTGAAACATACATAGTTTTAATTCTGAGGTGGTGTATCTGTCGTGGCAAGTAGACCAATTCCTGAGAGTGAAGTCCCTTTTTGTTCTTTTTTTTTTTTTTTTTGAGACGTTTACATGTTGTCTTTTACTTTTGCGTTTGTTGTGATGGTTGATGTTTAACTCCTCATGAAAGTAATTACGCTTTGGCTGATCAGCTCAAGTTTTGTACAGGTTGACCCGATGGTGGTTGTCTACATCTAAAGTTGCGGCAATGTTATTGTTGGGTCACAAAATCTTAACCAAATTATCTTTGACCGCACTATCCCTTGCTCTTGGTGGTATCAGACAAACATTAAGGGGGATAAAGAAACCCCAAACTGACTCAAGTGATAGGTAATGGGCAGGGCCGTCTCATAAATTTTTGGGGCCTTGTACATATTTTAAATTTATATAAATTAATAAATTTAAAAATAATAATTTTAAATAAAATAAAAAAATTAAAAATTGTATTATTTCCAAAAACATTTAAAAATGATATAAATATATTTAACTTAACATAATATACCAATGAATTGCTATAATATATTTTAATTAGTTTTAATAAATGTTTTTAATATATTTTATAGAAACAATCAGTTCTAATAAATATTTTTTTATAACAATTATAATATATTTTGGTTTTAACTATTAAAAATAAATATTTAATAATAATAAAGATAATTAATAATAACAAAAGTTGTTACCATTTATAATTAATTTTAATTATTTTCTATTATTAATAATTAATAATTAATAAATAATAATTAATAAGGGGCCCATAAATTTTGGGGGCCCTGTTCCATCGCACCTTTTGAACATGCTAATAGACGGCTCTGGTAATGGGTTATTGTCTCTTGTCTCTTCCCTGTCTGCAATTATGTCTCTTAAATCTTCTGGCGCTTTCACCCTCAGTTGCATGCTATAAATTTGACATTTTTTTGCTCTATGTTTCATCTCAGCCTTCTGACTGAAACTTGACTTATCAACATAAAACCATAAATGGAATCAAAGGCACCGGGTTTTTTGCTGAGTTCTTCAAGATTTCATGCATGTTACTCTCAGACCAAGGAGGGCGGTAGCATAATTGATTTAGGTCTCAGCCTTGGGACCCAACAGCATGAAAATTACCACTCATCTGGGCATAGTAATAAGCTTCTTTGTTGCTACTGTTAGCAATTTCTTTATTCAGTCTTATGTGTATTGAAATTCTCACCTGATCTCTTTAAGCATGAATTAAACGCTTAAGCCAAAAACTGGGCCTGTACGGTCCATCAACCATTTAAGTTGTTCAATTGGTATAGCAATAAACTTGCTCACTTGTTCTCTTTTTCTGTACATGAATCAAAGTGATGGGTCTGGATGGTTACGGGGAGCTCATTGATTGGTCACAGTCCAGCTGTAGCGATTCACGGCTGAAGAATCATGCAAGGGAACATGGAAAATTTGTTCAAGAAGAGTGCAGTAATGAGACTATTGAGGAAGGAGATGGGGTTGGGAGCAGAGGAAAGTGGGCATATGTGAAGGTCAACATGGATGGCTTTGTGGTTGGCCGCAAGGTCTGCGTTCATGATCATGGGGGCTATACCAGTCTTGCTCGTAGGCTCGAGGACATGTTTGGTAAGGCCTCTTAGAACATATTAGTTTATGGGTCCAGTGCTTAAGACAGTAGTTATCGAGACGGCTAAGATGATTGATGGCAGGGACTGACCAAGTAAAGTTTTTCTTTTTGGGGGGTGATATCCTGATTCTCTCTTGATAGTCGTATTCCAGATAAACAAGTCTTGACTAAATTTACAGGGATGCTAAGTGTGTCGGGACTAGGGTTGCTCGAGGTTGGGTCTGAGTTTTCATTGGTGTACCAGGACAAGGAAGGTACCTGGAGGAATGTGGGAGATGTTCCATGGAGGTAAGTAAGCTCGTCTCAATGCTTTTACTTCGAAGAATAAAAATAACTTAACATGTTTTTGTAAACATTGAAAGGGAGTTTGTGGAGAGCGTGAAGCGACTGAGGATTGCAAGAAGAGACGATGCTCGGCTTGCCTTTGCCACTACCACCCCATTCAACTGATTCTCCTTTCAAAGCGTTTCCATTTTCTCCAAAATAGCGATTAGAGAAAGTAGATGATTCTTAGTTGTCATGTGGTTCTGAAACAATTTCACACTGTCCTAATTTGAGACTGAAATCCCAAGGGCTTTGTTCCTATTGAAGAGGAGGATGGTTCAAACTCCAATCACCTTAAAACAGTTATTATTTGATCCACAAGATCTGCATCTTCTCTAACAAACAAATCGCAACTTTTCATTTAGACATCGTCACTTTGCAATTCACAAACATCAACACCATGACACAATCTCCTGAAGTAAAATAATCACACTCTAAATTCTCTAATTAGCTCTCTCTCAGAGAAAACCAAAACAATAAGACTCACCTCACCGCCCACTAACTGATGCGTCCAAAGTGTCAGAGGCAAGTCTCATGGTAGGTCTTTTGTCAGGATTTGTATTCACACAGGCGATGGCTATTTACAATCTGACAATGGTTTCCTCTCCTCCATGATCCAACTTACAAGATCCGTTTCAGATGTGCCCACCTCAACTACAGGGGATCTTCCCGTTATCACTTCCAGCAAAATCACGCCGTATGAGTAGACATCCCACTTTTGGGAGGGTTTCACTGCCTTCAGAGCCTCAGGTGCCATATAGTGCGAAAGAGCTGTGAACTCTGAGGATATAATACTCTTGCTATGTCTTTTTTACTGCAGCATCGTCGGAGAAGATCCTCCTGCAATGTTGGCCAACCTTACGAGTCCAAAATCTGAAATCTTCGGCTCCATGTCATGTCCGAGCAGAATGTTACTGGGCTTGAGATCCCCATGGACGTATTTCTTGGGACTAAACTCATGCAGATAAACCAGCCCTTTCGCTATGCCTTTCACTATTTTCAACCGCAAATCCCATGTCAAGGGCGTGAATGAAACCGTCCCTGCCTTTCCTGAATCCATATGAAGATGATGAATCACTTGGTTTGTTAACTTGAGGGTTTTTGCTACATACAAAAAAAAACTGAACCTACTACACAGAGAGAACTGGTCCGGTTGTTCACGTCCATATAAAGGGTTAAGGTTCTTGGGTTGTTACCACACAAGACATTCTACATTCAACTTCCTCGTCCGTCTATGGTTGTTTCTCAAAGACAACATTTCATCAGTCAAACGTTGGGAAATGTGAAGAGGAGAGGGAATAACAGAGATTCACCATGGAGAGCCGTAGCGAGGTTTCCGTTGGGAACAAAGTCGTAGATGAGCAACTTCTCATCCACAGACCAATAGTAAGCCCTCAGACTCGCAACTTTTGGGTGTCTGAGTTTGCCAATGGCCTCCACTTCCATCTGAAACTCCTTCAACCTCTGCGACCCTCCTTCCCCCAATCTCCTGACGGCCAAAGTGACTCCGTCTTCGAGAACAACTTTGTACACTATCCCTGTTCCACTCTTTCCCACTACGAAAACCGGCGCCTTTAGTAATTCATCTAGGTTGAAAGCCACCAGATCGTCCAGTGCCACGAGATCCAACTGTTCCACGTTCTTTGATTGCGTTTCCGATTCATCTTTCCGGAAACACAGACACTCTTTGGTTTTCTTGGGCTCTTTGTCGAATCCAAATCGGTTCTCTTCTTTGCGAACGCAAAACTTGGAGTGACAGTAAGCGAAAAGCAATCCCACGAGGCAGATACCGGCTACATCGCAGACAACTATGGCAATACGGCGCTTTTGCTCAACTCACTTGATTTTTCTCTGGTTTGAGCGTTAGTGTCAGAATTCTGAGGAGGGTTGTTGCTTGGGATAAACGGGTACGGGGAAGAAGAACCAGGGCAAAGGTTCTTCAGAGGCGGACCACAGAGTCCTGGATTGCCGATAAAGGCCGTAGGTCCTCTGTTCATGAGAGCACCGGTCTGTGGAATTGGACCAGATAGATTATTGTGTGTTAAATCAATGTAAACTTTCTCAGGAAGATTTCCAAGACCTGGTGGGATCGAGCCAACCAACTGATTATGAGAGAAATCAGCAGTTCCTTGCAAATTAGACAGATTTCCGACGTCACTAGGGATTGGGCCGCTGAATTTGTTGGAGGAGAGGTCGAGATTCTCCAGAGAGAGAAATGCTGAGCCAAACCCACTTGGCAAAAGACCAGAGAAGTTGTTTCGGCTCACGTCGAGCGCTCTAAGCCTCTTGCATAGCAGAATCGAAACGAACCATTGAAAAGATTTTCCGACAAATCTAAGGTTTGAAGAAGCTTAAGCTTACCTATCTCGTTCGGCAACCATCCAGAAAACGAATTGTCGTAAAGTACCAGACTTTGGAGGTCCTGAAGCTCAAAAAGCTGAACCGGCAAGGACCCATGAAACCTGTTGTTCCTGAGATTTAAATGGCGGAGACTCGAAAGTAACCCTAGAGACGGGGGGAGAGAACCGTAAAGCTTCTTCCTGGGGATGCTTAGAGAGACGACCTTCAGTTCCTTACACGTGACACCGTTCCACGAACAGGGGTCACTGTCGGACGAGTTCCAATTGCTCAGTGAGCCTGTTGGGTCTTCGCGAACGCCCTGCTTGAAGGACATTAACGCGAAACCCTCGTCGTTCAAGCCGCTCACCCAGATGTTGCAGTTGCAGAGAAGAGCAGCCGAGACGATGAGAGAGACCAACATGTCAAAAAAGACGTAGCTTTGGAAAAAGTGAAGAAAGATAGAGATAGAGAAATGTCGAGAGACTGAGAGAGCGAATAGTGAAGGGGGCTAGCAGAGTTGGGGGAAGAAATGGTTAAGATCTGCTATTATTATTATTATCATCACAGCTAAGAAAAAAGAGGAAATCCATTTATGTTTGTTTGTTCTTACATACCGAATATGTCAATAATCATTGTATGTACGCACCGTATCAAAAATGTGTTTTGAATTTTGATAAACCGGCCCCAAGCCCAAGGTTATGCTCGAATGTTGCACGCCGCAGCTCGGCAGGCGGTGCGTAAGGTTGGATTGTCCCTTTGGATAACACTAAAGGTTTTATACGTAAAGGGAATAGAAGGGTTAGACATTGACAAATCATCGGGTAAGTCGTGTCAGTTTTTGGTAACACAACAACATTCATGGAGCTAGGTTGGTCCATGTAGTCGATGAGATCGATCCTCTCTGTCTGTCCTCGCACTTCCTAACCCTACTTCTCTCCTAAGACAGAAGAAATCAGTTACTCCTTTTCTCCTCTTGAAACATCCTTGTTCCTGACTCACCCGCAACTATCACAGTGGAAGCCATGTCCAGAAACATGCCATGCTCCACCACCCCAGGAAGCCTCAGAATGGCATCACTTGCTGCTCTCACATCTCCCATCTCCTTCTCCATATACATCTCCACTATGTAATTCCCGTTGTCCGTCACAAACGCCTCCCTTCCTCTCCGACGAAGCTTCGCTACACACCCACTCCCTTCAAACAGCTTTCGGAGCTTCTCCTCCGTGAATTTCCAGCAAAACGGCACAATCTCCACCGGCATTGCCAGTTTGCTTCCTCCAATGTGCTTCACCAGCTTTGACTCGTCCACGATCACCACAAACTTTTTCGAAGCCCCCTCGATCATCTTCTCTCTCAGCAGAGACCCTCCTCGGCCCTTCACAAGGTTGAGATCCGGGTCGACCTCGTCCGCCCCGTCAATGGAGAGATCCACGACGGGGTGGGCATCCAGATCGGAAAGAGGAATCTTGAGAGAGAGAGCCTGCTCCTGGGTTTCCTTCGAAGTGGGTATTCCGACAATGTTCTTGAGCTTGCCTTGTCTGAGGAGCTCGCCTATTCGATCGACGGCGTGTTTGGCGGTGGAGCCGGTTCCAAGGCCGATGACCATTCCCGATTCCACGAACTCGACTGCTTTGTAAGCGGCGATTCGCTTGAGCTCATCTTGGGTCAGTATCACAGGAGGCGGCGAGGCTACCTCCATCGATGATTGATCGGAGCTGATGACAAGAGGATCGTACGCAAGCGCCATCTCAGGCCTTCAATCACATGCTTTTTTTTTTTTTTTTTTTTTGGTTGGGAATACAATAAGCATTGATGATGCCTAAATAAAATAACACAACAGGGTTGGATTCGGTCCACACCAGTCGCTTCTAAACTATTTTGAACAAACATTTCAATTAGATTGAAACTCTCTCATTCCCTTTTTTCCAAAATATTAGAGGATAAGAAAGAAGTGATGTGATGTGATTGGACTATTTGGTGATGGGCCTATTGGACATATGACATTTTGGGCCCATTGCGTTGATGATGGGGTCGGCCCATTCTTCCATATGAAATATTCACACCCTTTTCCATCTCAGGATAGTAAATAATATGCATATTTCAAACTGCGTAAAGATTTCAAAACAACGACAAAGCCCCCCCCGGAAAGACCCAAGCTTTAGAGATGGGTAATAGCTTAAGGGGCAAGAAAACGGATAGACGGAGAGACGTTAAAGCTGAAGACGCCGTCCACGGCGGACCAAGTACTGCAAGAGTACCCAGGCCTCGTCTTGCTGGACTCCGAAGCCGTCAAGCACTATGGCGTTCGAGCCAAGCCCCTCCAGGTCCAACACTTTTTTACCCCCTATGTGATTCACTGTACACAACAACACCAGCCACATGCGCGATTAATGAGCTGGAGAGTGTTTATGGGTGCAGGCGGGGCAGAGGTTGGAGGGGAAGAGGCTGTATTTTCTGGTGGAGCTTCCCAGAGAGAGTAATCCGCCGAGAAGGGTGAGATCGGGGATTCAGATGAGCGCCAAGGAGAGGCTGGAGAGCCTCATGCTTGGTCGGAGGTCTTCCTCCGATCTCTCCATCCTCAATCCCACCACCGTCGGATCTACCAGGGTCAAGCTCAGGCTCCCCAAGGCCCGTGAGGTGAGTTCGGTCTCTTCATGTGTGTGTATTCAAAACCCTAGAAAAGTACAACAACTGGCTGGTTTATGATATAATAAAAGGAAGGTTGGGATGGTGGTGCAGAGACGAGAGGAGCAGGAGGGGGGGGGGGGGGGG